CTCGGTGGCCAGCCGATCTCTTGTTCCCTCTCGTGCGCTCGCAGCTCAGGGGCAACGACAGGGGGGGGATGTGCATCAGGGGGGGATGCATCGACCCCCTAATCGCCCATGGATCGCCGATGGGGGGTCCGATGGCCCCATCCCGCCCAGGAGCCGGGAGATTGGCCATCGGCGATGTATCGCCGATTCCAGCTCGACGTTTCCGCCCCGATGCCAGTCGCCCCTATCGCTCCCCCTCAGCAAAACTCTGGGGCGTGTCTCACCCGGTTACAGAAGCGTCGGGGTTGAGCATCAGCCCCCTTTTCGGGCAAAACACTTACTTCTCAAAACAATCAGCCTGGCGAAGAACCCAATCACATGCAGCTGAAAGTACCGCAAGACAGGTGGAAACCAAGGGAGGGGGCGAGCAAAAGGACCAAGGCGCGCGACAGAAGGACGAAGCGAGGTTTCTGATGGTGTCGCAAAGGTTAGCCGAAACGGGTTACGTCTGGATATAACCCGTCACGGCTGATCTGAGCGTCTGCCGACCCCGCTCTGGAGCGCAGCAGGGCGCGGTCTGGGGAGCAGCAGGCGACGGGGCCGTTGGTGGAGCTCTTAGGGTCCACGAAACGTGAGAGGGGTGTGCCAACATGAGCGCGGTCACGCATGCGACTCCTGCCGACGGGGCATTCGGTGGAGCTCCCCAGAGGGGCCGCGAAACGTGTGAGAGAGGTGTGCCGAAATAGGCGCGGTCACGAATGCGTTTCCAGCCACTGGGGCCTTCGGCGGAACTCCCTAGGGGCCACGAACCGTGCGAGGCGTGTGTCGAAATGGGCACGGTCACGCATACGATTCCTGCCAACAGGGCCTTAGGTGGAGCTGTCTGTGGGGCCACATATGAGGGGTGTGCCGACACGGGCGCATCACGCATGCGACTCCGGTCACTGGGGCCTTCGGTGGAGCTCCGTCACTGGGGCATTCCGGTCACGGGCGATTCCGGTCACTGGGGCCTTCGGCCACGAAGCGCGTGAGCGGCGTGCCGACATGGTCTGGAGAAGGCGTGCGAACGCAGCCACTGGGGCCTTAGGCGAAACTCCCTGTGGGGCCTCGAAACGTGTGCGGGGTGTGCCGACGCAGTGAGGTGGCACCATGCGGGCGCAGCCACCGGGGCGTTGGTGGAGCTCCCGGTGGGGCCAGGCGCGCAGGGGGTCACGCGCACGATCCTGCCACAGGAGCCTTCGGTGGAGCTCTCCTGTGGGGCCACGAGGCGTGTGACATGCGCCACGGTGGGGTGGTTGCTGCATGAGACTGTAGCCACTGGGGCCTTCGGTGGAGCTCCCCTATGGGGCCACGAAGCGTGTGAGGGGTTGTGGGTTCTCCAACGTCGTGCGGTGGCGGCATGCGCGTGCAACACCTGGGGCCTTACGTGGAGCTCCCTATTGGGCCACGGAGCGTGCGACGGGTGTGCCAAAGTGGGGTGGTGGCGGCATGCGAGCGCAACCCTACGGGGCCACGAAAACGTGTGACGGGTGTGCCAAATTGTGGGGCGGCGGCGGCCTACGGGCGCAACCACTGGAGCCTCAGGTGGAGCTCCCTACTGGGCCACGAAACGTGTGAGGGGTGCGCCAGAGTGGGGTGGTGGCGGCATGCGGGCGCAACCACTGGGGCTTTAGGTGGAGCTCCCCGTGGGGGCCACGAAGCGGGTGAGGGGTGTGCCAAAGTTGGATGGTGACGGCATGAGGGCGCAACCTCTGGAGAGGGCGCGGAGCAGGGAAGGAGGGAAGCCGCCCGGCGCCGCTGATTCAAATGAGGACCCAACTCAGAACAGGATGTTGGGAAAACGATCCTGGCGAAGGACCCAAGCATTTGCAGGTGCGAGTACCGCATTGTGCGTGCCGCGTTCAGCTCCCTCAGGGACCAGACGCGCGAAGAAGAAAGTGCCTGAATGGGCGCCGTGCTTGCCGCCATGCGGGCCATGCCGCTGACGCCTTCGGTGGAGCTCCCTCTGGGGACACGAAACGTGTGAGAGGTGCGCCGACATGGCTGCGGTGGTGGCATGCGGACCCTACCAATAGGGCCTTCGGTGAAGCTCACTACGGGGCCACGAAAGGCGGGAAGGGAGTGCGGAATTGGGTGGTGGTGGCACGCGGGCCCTGCCACTGGAAACTTCGGTGGAGCTCCCTACGAGCCACGAATTGTGTGAGGGGTGCGCCGAATTGCGTGCGGTGGTGGCATGCGGACCCTGGCGCTTGGGCCTTCCGTGGAGCTCCCATGAGGGCCACGAAATGCATGAGGGCGGTGCCGAAGGTGGCATGCGGACCCTGCCATTTGGGCCTTCGATTGAGCTTCACATGGAGTCACGAAACGTAAGAGTGGTGCGCCGAACTGGGTGCGGTGGTGGCATGCCGACCCCACCAATAGGGCCTTCGGTGGAGCTCACTATGGGTCCACGAAAGGCGGGAAGGGGGTGCGGAATTGGGTGCGGTGGTCGCATGCGGGCCTTGCCACTGGGGCCTTCGAT